TGGGCAAAGCAACAGTAAGTTTGGAAAAAGCGCGCAGCTCCTTATACCCTGGCTCTTGCGCCCCATGGCTCCGCAGTCTCAGCTAACCCATGAATCCTGTTCTCTCCGTCGCCAGGCTGGCCAACGTCGCCGGCACACAGGAGCCCATCTATGGCCCGTCGGCTATCAGATCCGTCGCTGAAGAAGCAAAGGACATCCCGTACACGGAGATCACCCGCGATGACCTGAAATGGAAGGCCATGGACTCGACCTGTGTCGAGACTCAGACTTTTTATCTGGCGTCGGACAATGGTGACGTTGGTCTCGTGCAAGTCATCTATAGTAACGTTGCGTGCGTGGAGCGTCCTTTTCTCCTCTTTTGTCTTGCGATTTACCTCCAAGGCCGCCATGGATATACTCTGAGCTAATCCACCGCACCATCTCTCCTTTGGACCAATAGCGGCATGCGGACCACCTGCCAGTTCAACTCCAAAATATTCTCCAAAGATGCATCCAAGCCTCACTTGTGGTGCTCGACCCCTCTGAATAACTTTGGATTCAATGAGGACCAGACCGGCTGTTTTGCCGATGACTGCGTCCTGGAACTCTCGAAAGACGGAAACGAGTATACCATCAAGAGCATGAACGATGAGAGATCAATCGTCAACATCAAGATTACTAGAACTGCCCCCGGCTTCGTTGCTGGCAAGACCGGAACCACAAAGTACGGCACCAACCTCGAGAAACCGTGGGGCTGCATTCGGCACGTCTTTTGGCCACGATGCGCCGCCGAAGGTACAATCACCACCCCCGATGGTCCTGTCGACTTCAAGGGCCGCGCCATGTATTCGTTTGCGCTACAGGGCATGAAGCCTCACCACGCCGCTGCCAAGTGGAATTTTGTCTGCTTCCAGGGCCCCAGCTACTCTGCCATCATGATGGAATTTACCACCCCCGCCTCGTACGGCACCACCTTGGTCAACGTAGGCGGTATCGCCAAGGATGGCGAGATTCTCACTGCTGGCGCCGGCCACGAGATCATTCATGCCGAGGTTAAGAACGATACGGAGAACGAGTGGCCGGAACCCAGTGCGGTCAAGATGGCGTGGAAAGGCACCGAAAAGGACGCCAAGCCAGTCAGCGCCACCATCGAGGGCAGCTTGGGCCAGAGAAGTGACCGCGTTGATGTCATGGCAGAAGTGCCAGGCTTCGTCAAGACCATCGTGGCTGCTGCGGCAGGTACAAAGCCCTATATCTACCAGGTATGTCATATATACGACAGTCGTCGTCGTCGTCGTCGTCGTCGGCTGAATCCTTCATGCTGCTCTCCTCACTGACACACAACTCTTTCGGTCCTCAGTACACACCAAAGATGACACTGAAGCTCAAAATCGGAGATCAAGAAATCGCCGAAGAGGGCCAGCTACTGATGGAAGCTACGTTTATTTCGGAGTAGTACAAGCCGCGACTACGGTAAGCATGTCTATTAGGGTAATGGTGCTGCGTTGTCGTTCAGTTTGGAGGTTATTTGTTCTTTGACGCGCAGAATGAAGAATGATGGCATGCGCCACAATTGGGTATACAACACATAATTATTCAACCAGGGACCCAAGCCGACGCGGACGGCCTTGGTCACTCGCTTCGATATTTCTATCCTACCTTTTCCTTTTCCTGTTTCCTAAGCATATCGGCGGTTTGAGGATGACCGGCTGGGCATAATTTGGGTAGCCTTACATATTTAATCCGTTTCTTCCTTCCTTGCACACTAGCTTGCAAAGATAGTTGGACTGTGAAAGTAGTGCGCTTCGTTCCTTTTATCAAGCTGGAGTGGATGTTCTTGTGGGTTCCTGTCGGGTGTATCGTTGACGGGCATGGGCCGTTGCGCTCGAACTCAGATACTCCAGAGTCCCTACTGTATGTATATCGAACCTCCGGTAGGCAGGTCCCACTCCTTAATCAAGCATCGGGAATACGTAGATTTTGCGACTGTCATCCACATCGCCCCCCCCCCCCCCCCCCCCCCCCCCGCCTCTCTCGATGTGATAAAGGAACACAAGACGTTCGCACCAAAACCCTATACTATGTCACGTACACTACTACCGCGTGAAATCCTAGAATCAACAGCAGGCCATCCATGACTCGTCCTTCAGTGCATTTGCGCCGGTAATTACCCAAGACGATCTTGCAGCGGTGCAGACATGCTGAGGGGTGGAAAGATGTACATACTTATAGAGGCCCTGATGGAGGCCACCCGGGGAAGAAATATACCCGTTCAAATACGCATAAAAAGCGCGCAAAATCCCCGCGCTCAGCTGTATATAACTGTCCCTCTATGAACTGGAAATGGCCAAAGACTTTTTAGGAAAAGCGTAAATGCGTCATCATACAGATCCCAGTTACATTACCCTTCATATATTCATATTTTCATGACTCCTTTTCTTTTTCAGCGCCCAGGGGCTTCGACCCCTCCTCCCTGATTTCCTTGCCAATAGCCTGCTCGACCTGCCAGATTGCTCTCTCGAGCTCGATTTCCAGGGCTGGCACGTCCAGTTTTTCGGAGAAGTTCCGCACCTGGGCCTGACTCAAGAGCAGTGTCTCCTGCGAGGTAGGGCTAGAGCTTGAGGAGCTCGTATCTGAGGGAGTGGAAGTCTGTGTTTTTTGCTGGGCGCCTACTTGGCTGTATAGGGCGTCGAGGACGGGGGATGCCGTCGGTCGGAGAAGCTTCTTGGACACAAGGAATTGGATGTGTTTAGCGCCGGCGATGGCGCGCCAGTGAGACCAAGCGCGGTAGGCGAGGTAGAAGAAGGGCAAATTGGGGATGCTGCGTGACAAATTTATGCGTCAGAGCCCCGATTCTTTTCTTTTTAATCAAGCAAAAAGTCTCCCTGCCTGGACGAGGGCATAAGATCGAGGGGGGGATATGGAAAGAAAACTCACATTGGCACAAGCGCAAAGGGAATCGTGATGGGCATTCCCACAATACACCACAACATTCTCCGCCTATGCAGCCCATCCCGCTCACTGCCCATCCTTCTGACTGCGTCCTCCGCCTGAGACTCAGACATGACACTCCGCGGAAACATCAGATCAACGTGATCTTGGTTCTGCCCCGGCGTCTGCTCCTCGCCCTTTTCCGCACTATGCCGCCGCAGCTGCTCCCGGCTCGACAGCAGCGGCACAGACTTGAGGCCCCATTCCTCGTAGGATATCCGCCGAAACGCGTGATTCCCGTACTCAACCACTTTCTTCTGCCATCCCGACTCCTTCTTCTCCCAGTTGGACCACGTGCGCTCTGCCCAGGCGGCCCCGCGGTCGAAGTACGAGGTATCAGTCGGGGCGGTCGCGTGGTGCAAGCGCTGGGCGTAGAGGAGGCTCCGCCGTGTGGAAAGGGGAAGGAGGTAGAGGCGCATTGCCATGACTCCTCGCTGTGCAGAGTCCCCTTTGAGTTTGGGTTTTGTTGTTGTTCTCGACTTATCAGAGCGGGAGCGTATCGCGGCAATCAAATCGTGATGCTGGAGGAGAGGCGCCCACACAGCTTGAACAAGAACCAACGACGGACGATCAATTCTTTTATATGTTGCAAAGAATTGAAATTTTCTTGCAAAATATGCAGTTTGTTCCTCTTTATCGAACTTTCAAAGAGGTGACCGCAAAGATGTGAATGATTGAGGGAGACGCAGCGATGGGAGGCCGTCCTAGTTTCCTCGTCCTGGGAGGAAGCGCATAAGGCCCAAGGGCGCAGCTTTGCGACAAAGTGGAAACGACTAGGGGTGAGATTAGGGATGGAATTTACATTTTACATGTAAATTACAAACTCTGTAAATTACACGAGGAAAAACCCGTAATTCACAACTTATAGTGCTCCACTATAATGCTCGTGACTATGCGTCCATCTCCCATAATGCCGCAAGATAATTGGACCGTTCTCTCGTGCGGCCTCGACGACTCTTCCCTCTCCCTTCGATAAGACAAGTTGAACAATTGACGATAGAGAACACAGAACCAGTCACAAGAATATATACAGCCTTTGGAGACCTTACTGCCTGTCAAATGAGGCGTCGGGACACAGTGCAATGTGTCGCATGAGTCGCAATATATCCGTGGTCCCCAGGCGAGCGGCGCAGTGTCGACATTTGTACTTTTCGGTGACGATCTGCTCCTACCCTGAATGAATGAATGCTGTGCTACGATCGAGGCATCGTTGTGGTAGAATCTAGATGCGCGCAGTGTTCAAAGGTTTGAGTAACAAGAAGATATCTCTGCGTGGAGGAATGCGCATATGTACGTGTAGCTTGTGAAATAGAGACAAGCAGAGATATGCAACATGTTACATGGCCCATGGATGATCGGCGTACGGATAGAGATTTCAACATCATGGTGTGCGAACTGGCGCATGGGTGCTAGGCCCAAGCCTCTCGCAATTCACGTGTAATTTACGTGTAAATTACAATGCAAATTACACCGAGGGTCGTAATTTACACATTTTGCCCATCCCTAGGTGAGATGCCGGGCGGATTCTACCTATTGCTCCATGGCGCGGAACGGCGAGAGAGAGAGGATCGCCGTAAAGCGCAGGCTTCGATGAGGACACAGAAAGGGCAGAAAGAGTCAGGGTTCGTGACAGCAACCTGCTTACTTTCGGTCGTAAATCCTTGACGGCATGTCGTGGGCCACACCGCGATGCCCGAGTCGTGACGTACTTGCCAGAGGCCCTGCAGCATCACGTGCGCGCCTTCTCGGAGCGTCTAGGCGGCAAACTTGCCGGCATTTGATCTTTGTTCTGTCGGTATAGGGCCCACTTACTTGCCGCGCGGGAAATAGGCGATGCACAGAAGTGCATGATTTGACGAGATTGCGTTTTTTTTGAGCTCATGTGGCTTCTAGAAACTAGAAAAGCCGCATGTTGAGCTACTAATCGGAGAAAGCCACGGACAAAGTGTCGAGGATGCGACGTATGTACATACCTAATTTTTCTGTCAATACATTTATAGTATGCAATATCGCCCTAAACTTTAACACTCGGGCGAATGGTTTAGTGGTATAATACTCCCTTAGCATGAGGCAACCTTAGGACGTCCGATCCTAGATAATCAATGCTGAATTTGGGAGTGGTCCAGGGTTCGATTCCCTGTTCGTCCAAAGGAATTTATTTTTACCATTTTGAACAACTTTTTGGCCTCCTTTCATGAAGTTTGAACACTGATCGTGAACAGTGGACACTGGACACACAGATCCTTCGCACTGCGCAGGACGTATCTCGCATGGAAATGTCGCGCCCGAATCGGGCACAGGACTTTTTTGCTGTCCGTCAATTTGATGCCCAAAACGTTTCGAGGTGCGATACCCAGGTCATATGCGAGTTGTCCATACATCGCTGGGCCTCAACACGCGACATACCCATAATGACCACAACTCTGTAGATAGATCTTCCTTCTAGAGCGTAAATCTAGTATATTAAAACGATAAAGTACCTTCTCCATCATGAGTGAAACATGCCTCTTGGAAACCCCCTCTCGCCCAACCTCATATGTATGTACACACAGATACAGACAGCATCGCATCCGCCCCTTACAAGCCCTCTAGGGTCTCGTCCAAACTTTTATGTACACACAGATGGATAATGCCGCAGCAAAGCTCTCACCAAAATCCCCGTTACGACTGGGGACTCTTGCTCCGACCCCCCACGGCTCCTTTGCCCACAATTTTCTCGGCTGCCCACTTCCACGATGAGGAACTCAGAGTTGGGGACGTAGTTCCTGCTGCATCTGACGACCCTTTCGATTGCTGTGACTGCTGCGACTGCTGCTGCTGCCCAGATTTTCCCCCGCTGTAGGCTTCCATGTCGCTCTCGTTGTCGGAGTCCACCCAGTCTCGGTCACTCCATGTCATGGAATCCGCTCGGTCTGAGGCTTCGAGTCGCGGACGCCCGAGGGGGATGCTCTCGCTGTCGCTCTTCTTGGGCAGCTCGGGCACCTCGTCCAAAGCTTCTTCGCCAGCTTCATTGACTTCTCCACCACTCTCGCACTTGCTGCTCCCGCCGCTGGCGCATTTACCTTCCTTGCGCAGCTGGTGCAAGGGCCTTACTTCTCGACCATCGGCGGCTGGTCCGTGATGGACTTCGAATGCTCGATCCATGTTGGGCTCTTCTTCATCGCGAATGCGTGCGGTCTCGGAGTCGCTAAAGTGTGCGTCGACCATGTGTTTGATCACCGGCCAGCCATGCGCGTTGGCAAACATGCGTCTCACAATCATGTTGTTATGCGCGTCTGGCTCCAACTTGACCAGTACTTTGCGCCACGACAGATCTCGGTGATAGCCTCGGGCGATTTTCTCTTCTACTCTCATGTTGGAAGCGTCTACGGTTTCCGAGGGGTTGAGCTCAGGGCTGGTCTTGGTTGTGTCATCGCCGTGATCTTTGTCCGAGACGGTTTCCTTGGAATCCGCATGCAGCGGATTGTTGGGCGGAAGAGGAGATGTGGAACGACTGCCTGGCTCTGATGGTTGCGGCGAGCCTGAAATCTTGGCAGAATTCTTGCTGCGACGACCGAACGTCGACTGACGTTTCTTCAACGGCGGCGGCGGTGGCGGCGGCGGGATATCACTGGGATGGTATACTCGGTCGTGAAAGATGGTTCTCGGTCTCTTAGACGGGTCAAGTAGATATTCTTCACTTGGGATACTGGGGTTGAGCACATCGCCTGCTGATTCGAAGAAAGTCGTTTTTGGTGGTGCCGACATGCCATCGGCATAGCCATCAACCTCATGTCCGGTAGTAGCCTTGCTTGGCTGCGGCTGCTGATGTTTTCTATCAGACTCGTCAGTGGAGCTCGAGGCAGCTATGTCGGAGCTGGCAAGAGGCATAGTTTGTCCTCGCCGCAGCATCCTTTTCTGCTTCGCCGTTGGAACTTGGGGTTTGGGCGGATCTTGGCTCTTGAAAAGACCAAAGAAGGTGGATAAACGAGAATTGTTGCCAGAGCCTGGACCATTGTGATGATTGCTGCTACTGCTGTTCTCTATACCAGGCTCGTCATCCTCTTCACTATGAGCCCGCGGTACAGAACGGATGCTAGCTCGTTCGTCTTCATGCATCGCATCACTAGAGGGCTGCGGAACTTGTCGCATGCCCTCTTTGGGAGAGCCCTTGGGAGTAGTGGTACCAGAATCGTCTTCTTGCTCTTCTTCCAAGGCGAGTTGCTTCCTGCGTCTCGATGACGCCATGTTCGTGCCGGTCAGTTCTGCCCACCCAAACCCAACAACCGTTTCTACCAAGCCGGCATCTCTCCGAGCCTTTTCAACGCGGCCGAGACCCTGCCAGTCGAGGAATAGGAGACAGCTTGTGCGGAGCGGCACGATTCCGTCATTGACCACATTGGAGTAGACTGTGCGGTTTCTAAACTTCTTCAGGGCCGTGTGAGCCGGGCCGGTGGGCAGTATTCGTAACAGTGGTTTCGACTCGGGCTGTGATTCGCCATACACCTTCTTATGCGCCGACTCGCCGAGGTTGCTGACAAGAGCGCCCCATCCAATCCGAGCAATAGTAGGCGCTCTCCAGGTCAAGCCAAGATCTTGCCCGGTCCTGCCCACAAGTCCAAAGTCAAGGGCGAACTTGACGTAAAGCGGGTTCTCGTTGCTTAACCCCAGAAAAGGGGTCGCCATCGCAATGAAATTCACGGGCTGAATAAGATCGAAGAATTTGGGCGAATGTTTCTGTATGTAAGCAATAGCGTATGTTTGAATCAGGCCACCAAGAGAGTGTCCGACGAAACTTATGCTTGTGATCTGATAGCTTCTGCAGTGTCTATCATGCTTTGCCTTGGTAGTATCGGCTTGAATGTCACTATTCTTGTGCGCTTGTTTCACCTCGTGGTTGTCGTTTTGGTGTGGCTGGTCCTGGTGAAAGATATGATGAGGATGAAGACTATGGTGGTGATGATGGTGATCACCCGTTAGGGCTTCAACAGCACCCTCACCGGTGCCGCCTTTCAGAGCACCTTTCGCAATTGGAAGAAATGGCTGGTCTGGATATGTCATCGATAGAATATACCGTGATAATCTCTTCCCAAGGTACTTGATTCCTTTCTCTGTCTTAGTAGCGTTTCCAGGGTATCCACGCACGATGACTTCCTCATCGTCGTCGTCGTCGTCGTCGTCGTCATCGTCATCGTTCACATTATTTGCGATGCCATCCTGGCCTTCTTTAGGCGGTAAATCCTCGTTCATCGAGACATCAGGCTGTTTATCGGCCCTTGGCCTTTTTGCAGCTCTCTCCTTTGCCCTTCTACTCTTCGCATCAATGCGTGCTTGCCTAGCGGCCGCATCAATGCTTTCTTTCATGTAAAGCATGTCAGCGCCTAAATTGCTGTGCAGACCATGCGTCAATATGACAAGATGGACCTTCTTCTTCTTGCCGTGTGGCTTTTTCGGTTGTTTCAGCTCCTCGACCTCCGGATCACCAGTGTTCACCACGCTCTGCACAGGTTGATTAGCACCGGCGTCCTTTTCGGCGCTCTTGTTTCCAGAGTCATCATCCCAGCCGGGAAGGCTGGGCGTGTTCCAAAGCGCCGCGGAATCGTCCACCTTGAGCTGTATGGCCCTTGAAAAGACACCCTTTGGCTGACCGGGATGGTGCCCATCCTTGGCACCGACACTTTGCCGGTGATCGATCAGTTTCCCGGGCTGCGGTACTTGGCTGAAGTTGCCCCCAATCGACGACAGCGACTGGCTGAGGTTGAGAGATTTATGATCGCGCGCCACGACTACATCGAAGCCCACGGCAGCTGAAGTAGAGAATATGACCTGGGAGGCTATTTCAATCACCCACTTTGCGCACTCTCCATCGTGTTCGGGACCCTTTCCAAAGTTTTTGTTGCTTCCAATGCCGGCGTCTTGGCGAATGTTGTCCGGGACGATCAGCTCGCACTCCCAGGATCCTCCCGCCTTGAGCATGGGCTCGAACCGGGGGGCTCCGTACCGGCGAGGATTGGTGAACTTTTCATTGGGGTTGAAGTGAGAAGGATACGCCGAAACGGACAGAGTATAGGGCCCGTGGACAAAGGCAGCGCGAAGGGCGATGGTCGAGGTATTTCGAATTCGAACATGTAGTTTTTCGGGTGAGGGGAGGATTCGATCTTGCGAGGGCGTGTACGTGAGGCTGTATCGGATCACCTCGCCGACCTTGACACTGCCGACCTGGTGCAGGAGCAACATTTTCCCAGAACACTTCGGCCCCAGGGGCGTCCTGAGAGATGGGTGAAATGGGGACCACAAAAGCTCGTGAGATCACGAGAGAGAGAGAGGGCGCCGTTGTCGCAAGCAGGCTATGATGTCAGCTGTCTTGCCAGCATCCCGGCCACGTGGTACAGCGAGGTCCGAGCGAGCGTATGCAACGTAGGTAATCGGAAAGAGGGAAACTACAAGGGCAGTAAGACAAAGCCTATTTCCGAGAGCGGGCTTGGTGTATTAATGCTCCCATGGCGACGCGCCGAGCTCAGTCTCGAAGATGCCTGGAAAAGGGGCTGCGCGCGAGATGATCAATTCTAACAAGCTTGAAGGAGCGAACAGGGCACCTGCAGGCTGCAAGAGACGGGCTCACATGCCGTACCCCGCTCCTGCCGAATCGGAAGTGGGGACCGACGGCCGTGCAGCGGGGCGTGGCCGTTGACAACTTGACGCCGGACGGGTCGAAATAGGCACACCGTGCAGTACATATGTACCTACCTACGTACATGTGTGTAAACTCGGGCTGGAGGGCGAAATCACTTTGTCATTAATGTTTTTCAATTGTATCTGTCGAATTCCAAGTGCAGCAACTATGTACTGTACCCCAAGTGAGGGCTAGAAATGGCCAGAACTGGACTCGCGATTGGAAGCGATCCCCAAGAACTCGTGAGCCCGGGCCCCGGAGTATGTCACATGTACCCTCGCGTTGCTCCCCCCTTCTCTCCCTCTCTCTGAAATGCACATCGTAATTCTCGTTTAAATAAGTTCCTATTTTCACTATTCTGTGCGTATACACAGAGTAAATACAACCTGTTCCATGCGCACTTATATATTTACACGCCACTTGACTGAGCAGATCAACACTACATAGGTACATACTAGGTGCCTGGCCCACAAAGCCAGTACATACTCGCTACAAA